GCATTTGTTTGAAACTTTGTTACAATAATGATGCATTTGGCTTCAAACTCCACATATACAGAACACTTTGAGATTTTTGGGCAGTACTGAGATTGAGCAGGCCTTCTTTCAACAGGTTGAACAGTTGGAATCTTGTGTGTCAACAACGTTATAGTACAAGGAAGATAACCTGCCATCAAATTTGGAGACCACTTGATGAGAAGATAAACCGCAGTAACGCTTCCCCAGCCGCGCAATGCATATAGAAATGACCTTCTTGAACATGGAATCTTCTTGTATCAGTGGTTGCTCGACAAATTCATCTAGGGGCATCCACTGCACAAGGAATTGAAGACGCTACAAGTTAGAGAAAATCGTAAAATCCAGCAACGCGAAAAAAAACCTAGTTTGGTCTGCATAAGCTTGTATTCTTTGAGTGCAAATATTTACCTTGGCTGCTTGAATTTCAAGATCATCAACTATAATCTCAGTTGATAGCGGTCGTAACATGCAGATGAAGAACAAATCCGACTTTTCAAAAGTTACATTGTGAGCATGCCTGGAGTTGAATGTTAAACAAAACTATTACATACTTGCTGTTGTAGAAAATTAGTAATCCGAATTTATATGAAGTGTCCCATAGCACTTGTTTCAACTTCTTTACTTATGAACACTTTACGCTCAGAAATATGCAGCATTCTCTAAACAATGCTGACTGCAATAGAAAAATTAGCGATACTATATGTTGGATCCTAGTTTTGTTCACCTTTTATCAGAAAATTAGCAATTACACATAGCTATTACCTGAACGCTATAACTTCAACGAACTCGGTATCGATCTGCGATAACAACAAATTGCACCTAGCATTATTTAGAAGAATATTCTAAACTATTCTAAAAGACTAAATTAGTACGATCTAGATGGAATAGGATGTTAGAACAGATATCACCATATCTATTGACAAATTCTTACCCCGGTTTCCTCCTTAACTTCTCTCACAGCTCCTGTGAATATCTCCTCCGACTGATTCCAAAGGAAGAAATAAACAAGTTGACGAAGAACTAAAGTCTCTGCTGAACATAGTGAAAGTTAAAAGAACTGTGGTCAAGGTACTCCAAAATTGGATAACCTACCTCAAGGATGAAGCCGGTAGGTAATTTCCAAAAGCCTTCGCATGTTGGAGAACAATATTTCTCTTGTACGACAAGAACCTGCAAGTCATTATTTTGTTAGTACCGGACTCAATCAGAGGACCTGAGCAAGTTTATAAAGGCAGATGAACTATAGGATTTGTGGGGCGCAAATTAATATTAGACGCGTATTAGATTGGGGTGAAGTGATGGCAATTTAGGTTGTTTGTGACAAGATTATGTATGTAGTTTTCTTGCTTAGCACTCTGATTACCGAAGGCATACGATTAAGGAAAAACTATTTTATGATTTTGAAATAAAAATCAAGGAAATTGGCCAGTTTTATAATGAACACCTAAACTGAAAAAGGATATCTGATGCAACAATTGAAGTAGTTTGATCCTTCTACTGTTAACAAAGGATGTTATACCTCATTATTGTCATTGATGACGAATCCTCCAACCCCTACTTGATGTGATGCATTGGCAGGAAGCATGCAAGGTCCCTCCGGGATCCAGTATGTCAACATCACATAACCTCGTTCGGCATGGTGGTATTGGAAGCCTTCCTGCAACCAAACGGCTTATCTCAGAGATACAGACTGCAACACTTAGTAACGATCAAAGTAAAAGGAAGAAATAGCTAGCATTTTTAGCACTCGATGATGCTAAGACATTCTTTTCGTGTTTTACTTGTTCTGTTAACTTTTGGGCAATCCATTCCAGATAGAAAAGGATCAAATCCCATTTCTCATTCACCTTCAGCTGAAGAAAGAACAGATCCATATCTCAAAGTCATGTGTAGAAAAGTTACCTTAACAGCAACCGGAACAAGCTCAGCTTTTTCTACCGGCAGCTTTAGCCAAATTCCCTTCTTTCCCTGCAGTCAAATGCAAATTATTTCACAGGAAATGAACAAGTATGAAAATTTGAATCAATTGTGAAGATCAATGGTCATTTAAAAGAAGGGATCAGGAAATCAAAGGCCTTCGATGACTAAAGTTTGTAAATACCTCCATTTTCCAACGAGAGAGTGAGGAATGTAGGATACAAGCAAAGGCATTTGGGTTTTCTGGTAATCGTTCTGGATCAACTATAACTCCACCATACTCATCATCAAAAGCATCAAGTACCCTTATCTCTGTAGAATACAGATTCGGTCTTGAGCCATTCGTTCCATTAATTATTTGAAACAAACGAGTATCAGCTGCAAGTTTATCTCCACCAACTGAACCAATAGCGTTAACTGACAGATACCTATTGCTTGAACTAGAAGGCTCAGAAGAATAACAAGCTTTGAGACGAAACCCTGGAAAAAAATCGAGAAAACAGAAGAAATTCATCATTCAGTAAAAAAAAAAAAAAAGAAAAAGAAAGCTTTCTACGGATGAACTTAAAATGTAGTTCAAGCACTAAGATAAATTTCCAACTTTCTTTTTAAAAGGAAAATGAATTCCAAGTAGGGTAGTGATATTCATGCTCCCATTTTCTCCGTCTGCGCTCTTCCCCTTGTTTCTGTCTCTTGATTATCTTTTCGTTTATTCAATCGAAGGGCTAGAGAAACAGAGAGAGTGCAGGAGAGAAAATGGAGTGCGGAAATCACTTCCGTTCAAGCAATATTGCGGAACGAAATAAAATTTTAGAAGCTTCTAATCCTGTATCCATATTATTATGGTCTGAAAACACTTACCCCTGCAAGAACACAAGTGTGGAAAGAATTTAACAGCAGCTGGTATGTGCCGGGAACTCGAAAACGGGTTCAAATACAATCTTCTTCCCATCTGAACCGTCTCAGATACAGATACAGACATAGACTTCGATTCAAACAAACTCATCTCCATTAGCGATATCCAAAATCCTAACGACCTTAAACTGACCACAGCTGTACCATCCAATAAAACCAAATGATCTTAAATATAACACCACCTTCAACCTGGACTAATCAACAGTAATTAATCATAAAAAAATATATATTCCCATAAGATTCGACGCTGGCTCGGAGTGAACTAGAATTTGTTTGCTTGCACAGCAGAGTACAGATTGCGAGAACAGGCTATGAGAGACAATTAAGCAAGCAGATTAGCACTAAACATGATCATTTAACGTAGTCGTTTTACAATATGTGAGAATGATCAGCTCAAAAGAATATCAAATATTTTATGTCAGATTTTCAATGGAGAAAACGAGGGAAGCAACTAAAATTTAAAATAAGTAATTAGAAAATTCATGAAACGCGTTGAGGACTTGGAGATTGCCAAAGGAGAGAGACAAACAGATGAAGACTGAAAGTGGAACAAATCAAGGTGAGGACAGCCAATAAATTAAAGCCATGTTTATTGCATGAATCTTATCTGAAAAAATCAAGGTTACAGTGCCTACGTGGACGTGTTTCCTAATTTTTGTGGTGTGAAATGCATGGTGAGTTCCTTGTTTGACACACACCATATCAAGTAATAATTATAAAAAGAAATGTGAATCGAATAATTGATATATTTTATATAATATCTGTATGGTGACAAAGCGAAATAGTCAGGTAGGCACCTCTGTTCGGGTCACCGGCCACCCACGCCCATGGTTTGAGACAAGTGTATGGTTCAAGCACATTCCATATACTTGAGGGACCGAACTACGAAAAATCAGAATGCTCATGCCTTTGTTTCCTTTTCTTGATGACAAGCGATAATGTTATTACGCATTAGCTATCATAATATATTTTGAAATTTGTTTGCATAATTGATCAGTGTTTATATGTCTTATATAGTATTAATATGTCTTATTATGTCGTCATTACTAAAAAGATCAGTTCTACAAAGCAAATGTCAAAATATGTGTACTATAGCTAAATCCCTTACTTTAATTCACATTGATGGACTGTCCTGATGGTTAGAGTTGTCTTTAATTTATCGCGTTTCGAGTTCAAATTCTTCCTTTAGTGTAAATTAAAGTAGCAATACCACTTGTATCAAAATAAAAATCTACACTATAAAGAGGGAGAAAATTTGGACATGGCAATATGTCGATTTAGGAGGAAGATCTTATCCCAAGTGGTGTTGAAATTTTTTCTTTTCTACTCAATTTTATTCCACTTTGATATCATATATTTACAGGGTTTATTAAATTTTTTTTTTTGAACAATCGATACTATCTACACTAAAGGAGGGATGGTTTTAGCCTCACAATGTGTTAGAAATAATGTGGTTCAAATTCGCCTTTGGCGATAATCGAATATAAGACCTCTCACTTACCAGTGAAGATAAATACTAATAGACCGTAGTACTAAGGGTTGATTATTAAGTGTGTTAAATTATGCATGTTGTCCAATATTCTAGTGGATAGGGTGTTGAGCTTTTACCTATGTGTTCCGAGTTCAAAACTCCTCATTCTCTAAATTTAATGTAATAGTTTCGAATTCTCTCCCTCTCCTGAATAATAATAATAATAATAATAATAATAATTTTTGTTTAAAATGTATAACATGATCATTTCAAGGTTCCAATTTAGCACATGTGGAAACCCAAATTTATAACCACTACTCAATGTCAGACTAGAAAACTTAACCTTTAAGTTCTACATATGCGTACCCTAGCTAAAACAATCAAACAGGTGAGTAACTAAAATTAAAGTTGAAGAAGATTGGGTAAAAATGATGTTTTCACTACATGTCATATCTTCACAGAGAGGCTACAGAGGATTTTTTTTAATTTTTTTGGACAAATTTAATGGTTCATTTGGTAACGTTTTACGGAACGATTTTTGAAAAATTGTTTTGTAAGACAAAAAGGACAAATAGGATTTTGCATTTTTGTGATTTGAGAATGCGTTTGGTAGTTTAGTTCGACAATGATTTTAGAGAATGAAAACATTGATAACGTTTCTAGTACCAAATGTTTGCTATGAAACAAACTTTATTAAGATATAGAGAATCCCCGGGAGCACCCGGATCCCATACAGTAATTCAAATGCTTGGTGAGCCTCACTAGGAAGCAACCCATCCCAACTACAAATGTTGTCAACATTGTGACCAATGGATTTAATAGCCATTGCGAGGAAGTTGGATTCTATATAAACATGTTGCCACTGAATAGAATCAAAGGAGGTCCCCAGCCATTTGATGTCTTCAAAGATAGTTCTGAGCCTCCAAAAGATCTTGCAACGATCGAGAATCCCATTTATAACTAATTTGGAGTCACCTTCAACCACCACATCCTTGATATTTCTCTGTTTTGCAAAAAGAAGAACATCCCTAAGAGCAAGAGCGTCAACAACAGTAATAGTATTTGATCCGAGATTGTGAGTTCTAGCAACAATTGGCCTTCCAATAGAGTATCGAATGACAAATCCTCCAGCAGCTGAACCTCTAGCCACCGAGCCATCAAAGTTGATCTTCAAAGTGCCTTCTATTGGAGCTTTCCACTTAATAGTCCTCTCTTCCAAACAGAGTCTCCCTTTTCCTGTCATGTAATTGGCTTTAAATAACTCTTGTCCAACAACAGCAGCAATCATAGGTACTTTAGCTGGACGAGCTCCTAATCCTTTGAAAACTAAATTGTTCCTTTCATTCAAATCTGCCAGCATATTACTAAAGTTTTGCTTAAGGCTGAAAGGCTTTCAGTTTCACTAGTATTTAATTGGTTCAACCAACTATTCAAAACAGAACTTGCAAGGTCAGGAATTTGACCCCAAACATCCTTAGCAAATTTACAACTAAAAAAAAGTGTTATTTGACAATTAACAAATGTCCTGTATATATTTATATATATGTTTATGTTTGGTAGTAATTGTGGGGGTGGTGTTAAGGATGGTGTGGTTGAGACGACAGTGGTGGTGGTAGTAAAGATGGTATTTGACAATTAACAAATGTCCTGTATATATATATATATATGTTTATGTTTGGTAGTAATTGTGGGGGTGGTGTTAAGGATGGTGTGGTTGAGACGAGAGTGGTGGTGGTAGTAAAGATGGTTGGAGTAGTGGTGAGAATAAAGGTGTTAGTAATAGTGAGATATAGGTGGTCGCAATAGCAGGGCAGAGGGCAATGGTTGAGGGAGTGGAGGGAGTGATGGTGGTGGCAGCGGTGACAGCTGCAATGTGGTAAGGGGATGGTTGTGTTGACAATACTTATTAGGGATGACTGTGAAAATGGTGGTTGAGAGTTGGGGATGATGCTAGTGGAGATGGTGAGGTTGTGTGGCCATGGTGAGGGTGACGGGATGGAGAATGTGGTGATGGTCACAGTGGCGACTAAAACGGTGAGGTAGAGGTAGCGATGACCATGATGGCGAGGTGATGAAATTGGATAATATGGTGGTGGTGGTGGAGTTAGTGGTGGAGATGATGGTGGTGACGAAGGTACGAGTGGTGGTGGTCATGGTGAGACGGTGGCGATAATGTCGGTTGTGGCGATGGTGGGACGGTGGTGGTCATGGTGGCTAGGGTGATGATGGTGGAGCATATGGTAGTGGCGACGATGGTAGTGGGAGGTGATGGTGTCAAAGATGGTGCTTGTGGTGGTGGTGGTGATACTAAGACGATGGAGAATGTGGTGGCAGCGGTATTGGTAGCATACATGATTTTATTTTTACTTAAACTCTAACTTTGTTTTATAAGGTATCTTTTGTTTTCTATTATTTTGAAAGCTGATTTTAAAATACGAAGGAAACATTATTTCAATGCTCTACAAAACTTAGGCTAAATGTTGTTTTTTTGTTTTTCAAAGTTTAGTTTCACAAAACAGTATGCCAAACGTATTTCACCCATTTTTGTGTCTGAAAAACGAAAAATTGTTTTGCAAGGACATACCCTAAATGTATATAAAACATGTTACTATAAAGGCTTGTTTATCAAAGTGCTCCTCAAGCAATCATAATCAAAAGTATTACCCCTATTTTTACAACTGAATCATTGTTCTACAATATTCAGTTCGTCAACTCTGCCTATTGATTTGTTAATAACTTTTGATTGCAGAGCATTTGATGAGTCGTCAATATTGTTACTTAGAATATTGATATTACGCACGCTGATATCGTGGAGAAAAGTTAACAATTGCTAGAGTAATGTATTAAAAAAAAAACAATTGATGGAATAATGTAATAGAGCTTTAATGAAAAAGATTTGGAATAAGATTATTTTAATAAAAAAAATCAGCTTAAAATATTATTTAATCAAAAGCTTTTAAAATTTAATGAACTTTAACGAAAAACACCTGATACTATTCACTTTAATGAAAAACCACATTTTTATACTAAAAAGTCAATCCTGGTACTATTCATTTTACCTTTTATTTTATCCTTATCATTAAAACTCAAAGTTTTCAAACCATTTTCATTAGTTTTCTTTAAAATTTAAACCTAAGGACAAAAACCTTAAAATTATACACGGGATGGACCCAACACACTCAAATATAACTTTCCATAATTACCCCTAATGGAAAGAGAGGAAGAATACAAGTTAGTCTTCACTTGCACCCCACGTGGTCTCACTCTTTCATCTTTAATGTTTTAGTAATTTGCCTTCCAATGTAATTTGGACAGCTAGCATCCCATCATGTTTAAGAAATTGTGTGGGCCCCACCTCCCTTCTTTTAGCCGTCACATACCAATGCTCCCTCCCTTATTTATTTAATTTTTTTTTAAATTGTTGTTCAAAAGCATTTTTTTTGTCACGTTCAAATTTTTTTTTTCCCACATGAATTTATTGTAAATTTAAAATGAAATAAAAGTGTAAAACATGTGGAAAAATATTTTATAAAGCATTAGAGAGTTGTAATTATTTAAATTTTCATCTCATTCTATAAAAATTTACCAAATCACCAAAGATAGATAATAAATTTACTTTACATCTACCTAGTCCTCTTAAGTCTCATTCTGCCACCTGACCAGCACCTAACATTTTTTATAACCATGAGAAAGTGTGTTTTCTTCAGTTTCATAAATAATGTATAATTTTGCAATAGTTCCAGTAATAGTGTGCGCTTTATTTTTGGTTCACCAAAATTAGTATGAGTTATTTGTTTTAATTCCATAAATGATGTTTATTTTGTTACATTTCATAAATAGTGTGAGTTATTTTGGATCAATTTCAGAAATAGTGTGGGTAAAATGTTGTAGTTCTAGAAATAGTATGGGTATTTTGGCTCACTTTCCAAAAATAGTGTGGTTATTATGCTGTAGTTTTAGAAATAGTGTGGGTTCATATGCTGTAGTTCCAGGGAAAGTGTGGGTTTTTATGTTGTAGTTTCAGAAATAATGTAGGTTATTTTGGTTCACTTTCAAAAATAGTGTAGATGATTATACTATAGTTTCAGAATAGTGTGGATTATTATGTTGTAGTTCCAACAATAGTGTATATTATTTTGGTTTACTTTCAGAAATAGTGTGAGTTATTACATTGTAGTTCTAGAAATAATGTGAGTTATTTTGGTTCACTTTCATAAATAGTGTGGGTTATTATATTGTAGATTCATAAATAGTGTTGGCTATTATGTTGTAGTTCATAAATAGTGTAAGTTATTTTGGTTCATTTTCAGAAATAGGCTGGGTGATTATACTATAGTTTCAGAAATAGTGTGAATTATGTGGTAGTTCCAGCAATAGTATAGGTTATTTTGGTTTACTTTCAGAAACAGTGTGGATTATTACATTGTTGTTCCATAAATAATGTGGGTTATTTTGGTTCACTTTCATAAATAGTATGGGTTATTATGTTGTAGATCCATAAATAGTGTGGGTTACTATGTTGTAGTTTCAGAAATAGTGTAGGTTATTTTAGTTAACTTTCAGAAATAGTATGGGTGATTATTCTATAGTTTAAAAAATAATGTGGATTATTATGTTGTAGTTCTAGCAATAGTATTGGTTATTTTGGTTTACTTTCATAAATAGTATGGGTTATTACATTGTAATTCCATAAATAATGTGGGTTATTTTGGTTCGCTTTCTAAATAGTAGGTTATTTTGTTGTAGTTCAAAAAATAGTGTTTTACTTCAGAAATAGTGTTGATTATGTGGGTTATTTTGTAGTGTTTTACTTCAGAAATAGTGTTGATTATGTGGGTTATTTTGTTATAGTTCAAGAAATAGTGGCTCACTTTAGAAATAGTGTGAGTTATTTTGAGAAAGCCGACTGTGAGGAACAACAGTTAAATTGCCAATGCATTATTAAACAAGGAAACAAACACTTACATTATTTAACGCAGAATGACCAATCGATGAGTTTTTCAATTTACAACCTGTAAAATTCACTTGCCTCTAACACGCATGAGTCCAAGTTATTGTTCTCTTGTAAGTTGTTCCTAGCAAAAAATTGATCAAATATCATTACTCATGTAATGCACCAATTTCAGGTTTGTTTAAGAACCAACAAATAAGGTAAAGGTTGACCCTTGTTTTCAAGGTTATAACATCAACTCATTTGCAGTCTTGACTAAGTTGCCTCATTTCAATTTGAGAATACAAATACTTTGGGTCATCACTGCCTATCTCAACTCGATCTTGAGATCCGTAATGAACTACAAGTAAACACTTCAATGTATAAATGGTTGTTCAGTTAAGCAAACAAGCAAGCGATGTGTAACAAACATTTGACCGAGTAAGCTCGAAATCATTCGATCGTATTAGATCATCTTATAAGAATGCCAAATATTGCATCTCACATAACAAGAGGAAAACAGGCGAGCCCAAAGCCATATCTACAAGAAATCTTCAATGTTCAAGCATATTCCTGCATTTCCCTCGCCAAAACACAAGAGGAAAGCAGGCGAGCCCAAAGCCATATCTACAAGAAATCTTCAATGTTCAAGCATATTCCTGCATTCCCCTCGCCAAAACGCAAGAGCCCATCTATCGTAACATGTCGACTTTAGGTTCTGCTAGCAATGCTCGACAACCTTCGTGTTATAATGCAAGAAGAGATGCATCTTCCACTTTCACCTATGAAAAGTGAGGAAAATTTCATACAAATGACAATCATTAACTATCGAGGAGAAACTTATATGAACTAGAGTCAAGCACGTGAAAAAACTTGTGACTTATTAGGATTTCCTGCAAACTTTTTACATGAGTTTGTTGACCCGTTTCAAGTTGGTCTTCTAAGATTTATCCTATAGTTTTGAGCATTTTTCAGTTTGGTTGTACATAAAACCCAACTGGACAAACTATGCAGATTTCATGAAACAACAGATTACAAAAATATCACAACAGAAATTTTCAAAAAAATTATCAAAGTAACCATTCTAAACTACCATTACTACATCACTTTATAAAAACTTACACAAGCATGCTAGTGAATGTTGTGAACTGGAGAGCATTCGGGAAAGAATGTGAATTTTATAGGTAGAGTACATGTATACATCAACTCTCATCAATTGGAAATCCATTTCAAACCCATATAGGTAGAGTACATGTTTACATCATGCTGCAATATTTGGTCAATCGAAATTTGGAAATACATTTCAAACCCAAAGAGAAATTAGTCACAATAGTCCTCAATAAATCACAGATTACAAAATGAAATTACATTAAATGAACAATCACAAACAGAAGACCAAAACAATCACAAACAAAAGACCAAATCCTAATTATGCAATTCCACCAAACATCGAAACCCTAATATACACAATTTTATACACATCAAACCCTAAAATAGAAGACCAAATGCTAATTCCCAAATTCCACAAAACACTAAAACCCTAAACACAAATCAAACATCACATAAATTAGAGAATCCATAATTTTATACCTGCTTATACGTCCGTCGTCTCGATGACGAACTCGGTGGACAAGATGTTCGTAAGCTTGGGGCTGTAGTCGTTGTGTCCACCGGTGGTCTTCTTCACCGTATGATAGTAATTGCTACTAGTCAGAAGATGTCCGAAGTTCAACTCTGGGATGTAGACCTTCTCCTTCTGGTGAATCTCAACAGGAACTCCAACGACGTTGTTGTAGACGCTGATGCAGTTTTGCTCGACGTCAATGGACGGATACAATGAGGAGATGAGTGAGAGTAGTACCTGATGATGATTGAGAGCGGGTGAGACGACGAAGGTGGTGATGGTTGGGGCGACAGAGTGGCACAGGCTCAAATGAAATAGCAAGACACCAAAGATTGGAAGATGAGTGGCACGGGCTCAAACGATCTTCGCTTCTCTTTCTCTCATACGAAAATGAGTGGCACGGGCTCAAATGAAATAGCAAGACACCAAAGATTGGAAGATAGAATTGAGTTCAATGGAGCCAAGCTTTTCATCGGTCGGGGCCGGGGTAGGTCTGAGGTAGCAGTGGTGGCGGAGATCGTTGTCGTTGTGTCATGGAGAGAAAGGGAGACACAGTATTGCAGAGAGATCCGGAAGAGATATTAGATGGACAAGAGACTTGCCGTTAGGGGCAAATCGAAATTTAATTGTTTGGGTTATCTTAATTGGACTAGTTCAGTGTTGACTTTTGTCTTAACCATTAAATAAAGTTGTTTACATGGTTTTTGATTAAAATTCAAAGTTTTCAAACTCTTTTCATTAATTTTCCTTTAATGTAATGTGAGAAAAGGGATAAAATTCAGAATGAAAAAAGGCAAGAAAATTACAAAAGATTTTTTTAGATGCGTCTGTGTATCCGGTACTTTTAATCGTTATATTTTTAATTAAAATATAAAAAATTAAAGATTTAATAGTTAAACCATTAAAACTATCGGTACTCTGAAACACCCAAATTTTTTTGCAATTACAAAAGTATGAGAACGTAATTTCTTTATTTTAACAAACATGTGATGGTCGCCTCTCTTTATTTGATCAACATGTGATGATTTACTTTCAGTAGGGAGAAAAAACAAACTTACTTTCAGAGTGGCTTTCTTCTACCCTTGGAAATTATCGGACAACAATATAGCACGTGAATTTGGAGAGATTTTCTAGTATGACCGGTGTACGAGGTAGTACACCACGTATCATTATACAAATGATAAGATATGTGTGTTAAAAAGTTAATAACTTAAAAAATAAATTTTTCGACCATTTACTTAAAAATACGTGATATACCATCCGTATTTTCGTTACAATAAAAAAAATTTCGTGAATTCAAAGGACATCTTTGTGAAATGGCCTGTTCATATTATTTTCACAGTTCACATGGGTCGGAGCATAAAGAATAAACTTCATATGGGAATGGGACCATCCACAAATTATGACATTTCATTATTGCCAGCACTATAATTAAATCGTTGATATATGCAGCACTGCACATAAAACATCAGAGATTGCCTGAAGGGAAATGTAAATTACCACGTAATGATTAAGGTCGCAGAACAAAGATGTTGTCCTACGCTAGTGCTAAAAATATGTGAAACCTTCTGCGATTCTAGTCATTGCTTGATATTCTTGATATTATATTGTACTAGCATTCATGCACGTGCGTGATGTACTAGCCTTTATGCACATGCTTACGTGCGTGCAAAAAATATTATTTTTAATTACGACATGCTACACGCGACTTACACGTTTTGAAATATATTTATATGTGTAAATTGACAAAAAAGAAAATCAAATATTTCAAGTAATTGAATAATCTTAGATCATGTTAGAAAAAACCCCTCACAAACCAATCAAAGTGTCACATCCCGGCCCGGGGCGGATCACTTCCCGGGCCCGCTCCACCACCGTAGCACGATATTGTCCGCTTTGGGCCCCGACCACGCCCTCACGGTTTTGTTTCTGGGAACTCATGAGCAACTTCCCAGTGGGTCACCCATCCTGGGAGTGCTCTAGCCCCCTTCTCGCTTAACTTCGAAGTTCCTACAGAACCCGAAGCTAGTGAGCTCCCAAAAGGCCTCGTGCTAGGTAGGGATGGGAATATACATTTAAGGATCACTCCCCTGGGCGATGTGGGATGTTACAATCCACCCCCCTTAGGGGCCCGACGTCCTCGTCGGCACACCACGGCCAGGGTTAGGCTCTGATACCAATTGTCACATCCCGGCCCGGGGCGGATCACTTCCCGGGCCCGCTCCACCACCGTAGCACGATATTGTCCGCTTTGGGCCCCGACCACGCCCTCACGGTTTTGTTTCTGGGAACTCATGAGCAACTTCCCAGTGGGTCACCCATCCTGGGAGTGCTCTAGCCCCCTTCTCGCTTAACTTCGAAGTTCCTACAGAACCCGAAGCTAGTGAGCTCCCAAAAGGCCTCGTGCTAGGTAGGGATGGGAATATACATTTAAGGATCACTCCCCTGGGCGATGTGGGATGTTACACAAAGTAGCTGAATTCACATAATAAAATCGGTATTTCAATTTTTATCTACATTCCATTGAATTTACATCAAGAATAGAGAAAATAATATTTAGTAAACAACTGATTGAATCACATTATTGCTAGCCCATTGTAAGGCTAAGCCAATCCCCATCTCCCTTAGTGTAAATAATATCGTTTGTAAGAAAAAATAAAATAATCATTTGATAACTAATTTAATCACATTATTATGCGCGTGTGAAAGACATTTTTTATAACCGGCATTACACGTCTCTTAAGATGTTTTGAACATATTTAAAAATAGAGAAAATAATATTTAATGAATAACTGATTGAATCATATTATTGCTAGCCTATTGTGATATACTAATTATAAATAAAAAATAAAAAAAATAAAAAAAAACGTACAAAAAGAATTAATTATTAAAAAAACACTGTTAAAATGACGAAATACCCCTGCATTATTTGGTGCATTATTTGGGCTGCTTTTGAAATTTTTGTTTTGGGGGCATTTTTGTTCAAAATTTTTGGTGAAACTTGTTACTCGAAAAAAGGTTGTTGACTTTATATATAAAGATAATTGACGCTCATATTCTAGTATAAGGAAAAGGGAGATGTTAGTAATTTTATCATTTGTTTTCTCATTTTAACTTTTTCATTTTTCTCAACTTTATTATCACATAAACTAAAAATTAAATTAAATTAAAGAACAACTTTTACAAAAAATAATTCTCTTGTAGGCTTATTTAACTAAAGAATTATAGAGAGTGGATTCGGCGTCAAGGGAGAGAGAAAATCTTAAATGAAGATGTCACAAGATAAATATCAAATGTTAATTCGCGGCAATGTCAAATTTTTTATTTTTCCAACCGATATGTTTTTTATAAATGATATTTGTATGAACCATTTTAAAAAGAAATCAATTAAAATAAACTTTCAAGATCTACAATTGGTGCATTAATGGGACCTACACAATAAAATAATTACAAATTATTTGGCATCACCTTTAATATGTCAAATTTGATATATGAAAACTCATATGTCAATTCACATATGATTGACATATCGGTTGAAGCTTGCTTCTACTTTCAAATTTGATTACATGTCATTCCACTTAGGATTTGACATCTCATTTGGAGAGGTCTAAAAAGGTTTTCTCACCTCATTGTGCTTTTATTTATAATAGTAGGAAATGTAATTTTCTTACCTTTTAGGTATTACAATGAAATATGACACTATCTAAAAAATACTATAGAATCCCAGTAGGATTTACACAATCACATTCCTAACACTCTCCCTTGAGTGTGTAAATACTCAAAGAAAATACAGCATCAGGTCTTCAACAATGAAGTGAGTTTAGTTGATGAAGTCGTCTGCACAATAAGCGAATGTGAGTCTCAAATTAAACGAAAGAATGCATTGGTAGTAAATCACCAGAGTCGCTATGGCAAAACCTAGTAGAAGAACCCATAGTCTAAGGAAAAATGTGAAAAGTTTGCATTAATTCAAAATTATACTCTTCTGGACGCAAGTAGAAAACTCACAAAAGTATGATCACGTTAAATCCTAGTCAGGTAGCAAAAACTAAGTAGGAAAAATGCTCCTAATTTTAACAAGTGAGTATACTTTTGGATATTGTCCTGAGTTTTAACAAAACTTAGAAATGAGAGCTACAAGCATTGCAAATGAATGGTTACGCACCAATTCCTCATACAAGCTTCTGGAAGGTAGACTTTGGCAGTGACGTCGTGAAGAGGCTGGCAAGGTTGTTTGGGATCTGAATGCTTGACTTCAATCTCCAGATTAGGGGGCACAGGTCGGGCCGGGTCGAAATTTGGAGGAACTCGATAGGACCGGTTTTAAAATGAAATGGGTCAGGCTGGACAGGTGTAGCAATTCTAATTCTTGGAATTGGACCTAACCCGGCCCATTTGAAACTGGCCGGTTCAGGTCGGGTCCAATTAAATTTTTTTTTTTCAAAAATAGATTATTGTATCATTTATTCAGGAATTAGGCAATATCATTCCTCCTTTGTAAAACCTTGCCGAGCACAGCAGCAATAACTTGATTTTCTCATTCGATCTAAAGCATAATAATAGATTACTCAAGTTTCAAATACAAACAAATCACAAAACCACCTTACCTAACATACAAAGAGAATCAAACGAGTAAGCTAATCATAAAACAAGACTAGACTTTTCAAGCAACAAAACAATAAACGGCTTAACTACATTGGTAAACTCAAAAGGTTGAATTGCAACAACATCCGGGTTTTGGAAATGCAACAAATTGATTTCTCTAGAATTACACAAATTGGAAAGAGATTGAGTAACCCAATCGAGTGCATATTATACAAGAATTGGTAGCTTACCTACCCGTCGTTCCTAATCAAGTGCTTACAAACCCTTTTAAAACTTATAGAAGATTGCTGTAATCTACCCCTTTGTTCCTAATTGAGTGCATATTATAGTTATACAATAATTGGTAATTAAACCCCCCCCCCCAGTTTAATGAGCCTGCAAATGCAAAAATCCAGGTCCAGACCCAGAGTATGATATTAATTAACCAAAAAAAATAAAAAAAAATCAAAATCCCTAAATCTAGAAAAACCCAAATTCCTTAAATCCCTAAAGGCTAAAATTGAATACCTTTTGTTTGAAGATTTAGCTTCGAGATAGACTGGTCAGGACCGTGAGGTAGTGGTCGAAATTGAGAGGAGATGATGGTGGTGGTCGAAGATTCGGAGTCAACTTCAGAGAAGCTGAGGGATGAAGGTCAACTATCGAGGTTCAAGAGGGAAGAGAGTCATTTTGGACTCTAGGATAAAGAGATCAAGATGAAGGAGAGTGAGAATCGAATCCATCATCGAGATGCGAGAGGGTTGACTGAAGAGAGGAGATTCATCCGAGTCTAAGGGAGTCTTCAAGAAAATCTGAGAGTAAACTACAAACTCTAAGACCCTTGTGAGTGTGAGATGTTTGGATGGTATAGATTTAATCTCCAATATTAGATGGTGGATACGGTCCGGGCCGGAGGCCCGTGTCATCACAAATTAGGACATCCCTGCGTCGCTATTTACTAGGAACTGACCCATCCCGCACCGTTTTAAATGTAGAAAAATATAAACCCGCTCTGAACTCGCCTAAAATTGCCACTACTTGCCCCTACTCGTGGGTCCATGACTCGTTTGCCCAGCCTACCCTGATGCTTTGCTGATGTAGACGCAATATACTTAGCGTTGACTTCTTGGATGTATCATGTTATGTTCTAGTTGATACATGCGACATAGTCTTCACGTTTCTCACGTGTGGCATAGTGTGGCGCAATGAGTCCTGGAACGATTTGAAGATTTTGCAACAAACTTCTATTTGGTTGACCACCAAGGTATTGCGGTGTTCTTAACGGTAAAGACATAACTCATTAGAAAACGTGCAAGGGACATGTAAATAGTTTGTGTCAGCGTATCCCATAAGGTATGCATTTTTTTTGGGAACTAAGTGAGTGTGATTCATTCTAAGATGCATAGGGTTAGAATAACCCCAAATCGTAATAATGGAAAAACGTCTTTAACACCAATTTGATGGTGGCATGTAGGCATAACACTATTTTATGCCAAAAAATTATCAGCAATAGAGATGTCTGATCTAGTGCTTTGAGCCAAGTACAATAAAGGCCAATTTCATTCAGATATGGAACTTTAGGCTCCATAACCTTCGCAAAGGTCTCAATTTCATCTAGCATACGAGCAATTAGGGGTATACTCGAAAGTAACACCTTCTTGGTGTAGTTCGACTGGTGGACTGGAATACCATCATCACTATGCTCGAGTTTTCCAAGATCTTTCATTTCAAAGTCTAACGTCAGGTGCAAGGTAGTTTTCTCAAGCTCCGCATAAGTCTAAGTAAGATTTATGTCATTGATATGAACTGCAACTTTAGCAATTTCGGTTTTGTACACGCAGGGGCACATACCCCTAATTGATTAAATTTTCACTTGAATGGGTATACCACATCCCCATGGGTTGTTTTGCATCCATATAGTGAAAGCCTCATCTAAATCGAGAGGTGTTATGTGGTCTAGAACTCTTTGAACTAATTTATGTAATTCTTCAAGAACTTACATGTAGATTTCGTGTCATGATAACAAAGATACATTACAACCACGTTTATAAGCTGCAATCAATCAAAGGCGCATGAGAGAGGCCTTGTGCAATAAGGCGGCACTATATCACACTATTTCATTTATCTCATTACGGTTCCTTTTGAGTTGGATGGTATTGGAAATAATAGCCCAAACACTTTCCACTTAGTCAAGGAATCTAATGGATTGTTTTTAGTTGGCCAATTAGTTCCATATTGCCACTAATCTACGGAACACGGTTTGATATTGTTGCTTTTCTTTTATGTTGGTAGCTACTATTATAAGTGAAACATCATTGTTGATAATCTTATTTCAATTCCATATCTCACCCAAACTAGTATACTCGACCAAGAACTTCAAGTCTTAGGAGTAATACAGATTAATCTCGTTGGATGAAAATGATTGAGATACGATCGAGTATGGATTCATTTTTGTGTCATGTCTTTCTTCTTCTAGGGAAGTAAATCCTACGAACAGGTGAATTGTCGTGCTTTAGGTGAAAGACAGACTAATCAGTAATCCACTGGTGTATTGGACTGTCCAACAAGGGCAACCAAACCGTCCTTCAAGGCTGACACACTTTTCGAAGATGCTAACTCGACGTCCATTAGGTACGTCTATTCTTGCAAGCATGTTTGCAGCTAGTATATAATCTCGTTACTTCAGCTAAATTAAAGGAATGTGTCTAGAGCAACATTCTGAAAGCTAGAATTCATTGCACTTGGCTATCATACTTGAGCGGTACGAGGATCGAGATGAGACATAGTGGACAACGTCCACGCAAATTCGCACTGTTCTTTAGGAACATTGATGTTCTTATTTCACCATAACGGTGGGAAGACTATCTAACTGAAGTGACGACTCGTGAATAAGCGATAAGGAGATTGCTTACAATGGCTTTAAAGAGCTAGTATGAAGGAGAATCATAATTGACAAAGATTTACATCCTTATTTGAAAACTTATATTGGTATGTTGTAGCGGCGCAGCTTGGTACATAAAATGCACACCTAAATGTGTAAGTATGAAACTCAGGTTCGTACCAAGTAACCAATTGTAACGCCATAAATGGTTTAGTGGCAATGGGCCTCAGGCGAACTGACATAGCTGCATGCAATATTACATAGCCCTACACAGAAAAACCGGAAGTTTAATGCACTCATTACCAAGGTTTGTACGATAATTAAAAGGCGTTTATGATCGTTTTCCACTAGACTATTTGGGTGTGAACATAGGGAATCAAAATGTTCAACTTATGTACACAAGGGAAATGCAATAACCATTGAATTTCTCGATGTAAACTCTGTGACATTATCTATTTTCTAGACTCTATAGATAATCGGGGTGGTGAGCCTACAACCTAATAATTGGTGTCAAGAGTCTAACAAAGCAGCATTGAGTGGAACAAACATGTGACCAATATGTTGATACGTTAATCGAAACCATAAATTAATTAAATGGTCTGCATTTTAGTTGGATTGGTCCACAAATATTCTCTTGAATCCGTTGTAGAAAAGATAAGGGATTCATAAGGATCGTTATAGTACATAGGCGAGTAATTAACTTGGCCAGTAAGTATCTTAGTAGCTGGGCAATTATTTTCTTGCCCAATAAAGATCGGTGATCATTGCTTGGCAAGGTACGATGTCCTAACTGCTGGTAAGGAGATTTCCTATACGGTGCATCATCCATCAACTTGGAAGTCCCAGACGTTCGTGCCACAACAAAAGTTCCCTTGGAATCTTGGGCTTCTGATCAGCCACATAGTGGGTCTCTACGATGCAAATGGTTGTGATGTACAATCCATTCAAACATCATAACCATTCAGGAGGTGTTCCATCTTCCGTTGAATACGCTTCTGGCCATAAACTAGTCATTAATGGTTGGCTACGCATTCATTCTCTCCCTTAGAGTCGGGGAGCATAAGGTTTTCAAACTAGTGGAAAAATGTTTTGATCATGGGTTAAACTAGATTAGGTTAATAGGTGATATGTTGTAAAGTATCATCTCATGATTGGCCTTTAGGGCACATTTCTAACAGGTATAGGTTTGAAACCAATCTCTTTCATTAATGAATACAATGATCTTTACAACACTAAAGAGCTGCAGTTGAATGAAAAAAATACACTAAAGAGCCTGTTAGCTTGTTAGATAATTTTATAAAGTATGGAATTTCCAAGGAAAGAGAAACCATATAAAATATTTAGTGTAGATTGTCCGTCATTTGTTAAAAAAATATATATATTTACTCAATAATTTTCCCATACTAACTCCCTCATGCACACTAAATCAATTTATGAGTTTTTCTATTTGTATCACATTTATCAACCACGTTATTGACCACCTCATGGGTGAGGCTTAACGAGGCGGTTAACAATACGATCAGTACATACATACAAATGTTTCCGGAAATTGAGTAGAAAATTGAGAATACAAACTTTTATTGATATATTTTATTTTCATATCAGAGCTTTCTGTCCATCAAATCCATACAACACAAGTAAAAAGATAATTAAGAATACAGGAAAGGAAACAAAACAAAAAGGGCAAGAAATATCAAAATAGTAACAGTTGGAAGGAAAATAGGGTGGCCAGAATTACACTAGAAAATGACTTAGATAGTGTAATTTGGGTTCGTTTCGATGTCTAAACCCCTTAGCTTTGCAAAGGACTCGACCTTCCCCTTCAGAGTGTGAAGCTCCCTTAGTCTGCATCGATAGGAAACACCAAAAATTAAAGTTAGGCAACACACAACACTGCCAAAACACATCGTAAAGAATTATTTCAGAAATGCTCTCTTGCCAAACAATCTTATGTTGTCAAATTGAGAATCTGGATCGCTAGTAATATATTGTACATAATCACGGTCTGTAAGTATATGTCTGGCAAGAGAATAGTACTTATGTTATCGTTTTCTTCGGAAACTTGAATACAATTGCTTTGTGATCAATGTCCAACTTAAGAAAGAAAACCAACCTTGCAATCTCTGCACGTCTCCTGGCTTCTTCAGCCATGATGCTAACATCCCTGAATGTGTGCCTCTCAGGAATGTTCTTTGCCTCCATAGATGGGAGGCCATGGACCGTCCGCTGTTCTGCCGCCCATGCAGCCTCACGGAACTCTTTACCGAAGTCCTTTTGGGTGTTGAAAGCCGTCTACAAAATTATACACATGTACATTGCAATGCTGTTAGAATGTGTAATAAAAAATGTTTTGAAGTTCAAAATTGTTAAGAGAAGGAAGGTTCATATTCACTCACTCTTTTGTTCAATACCAAACTCCAAGCCCTCCCGCTGAGTGCATATCGAACGAAAATCTTGACAGGATCAAGTAGCATGTAGATTAGAATGTTGTATATCCATACGACACCACACCATTTCCAGCCGATTGCTTGAATTCTAGCAATTTTCCATGTTACTAAAGCAGATATTAATGTAGCAATCTGCAAGGATGCAAAATTTTTAATTGTCAAATATGAATTACATGTTAGTTTAATTAAAGACTAAAGTTTCTGAGCATAACTATGTATATAAACGTCTTCCTATGTGCTGATTTTGATGAATATGAAAACAAAATTGAATGCTATTTGATTGAAACAGCATGAAACCACTTACCAGTTGAGCAATTACGAAAGCACTAAGCAGAAGCAGACCAGGTACTTCCAGGAATGACCATCCTCGGGAGCGAGTGACAAAAATTAGAGCCTGGCTGATGGTGCTAACTTGAAGGTACAGAGCAGATGATAGCTTGGCATTCATTCCCGGATTGAGGGTCCCGTTGGTATAATAGAGATTCTCATTGAAGATATCTTCTACACCGAATTTTTTCTGCGAGAGAGAACGAGAGAAGGTGAAAACTTGATCATTGTAATCGAGTACAAAATGTGAGAACAATTTCATCTATGCCAAAAGAAGAACAGAACGAAGTAACACATAATTAAGATAAGAAACAATTACCGGAAAAAATTTAGTATCGTAAATGATCGAGAAGAATATAACTGTGGTAACGGCAAGATAACTGCCTAACACAATCCCGGTTGCAAAGATTTCACTCAGCTTCCAACTGTCAGGAACTGGAGATGGCTTAACCCTGTCCTTGGATATCGTCATAATAGTACCTGGTAAATGGCTCAAATTTCAGAAATATTTTCGGAAACAAGAAGGAAAATAAATGAAAAATGAGTAGGAAACTGAGAATTCACACTCAAGAAACCATATTACAGACTAGCGCAACACATGGTAGAACGTAAAAGGTTAGTAATGCTTACCATCATTAAGAATGGCAATGATTAGGACCATAAAAGGAGGGAAATCAAATTTCCAGAATACCGCAAGCAACAAGAAACCGAGCTGTAAAACAAACCCAGTAAGAAATGAGAACTCACATTACAGCATCCTTAGATGTCAAGTAATCTATTTATCAAAGAGATTGAGGGCTACTTACCACAATACGTATTGTTATAGATACTGCGTATATCTGAAAAAGGAAAACAAAACCAACACAGTTACGGAAAACAACCCCCAAAATTTAGCAGCAGGCGCACTTACAGGTTCAGTTCCAAAAGGAATTAAGAGGAGAGGATCGCCTTACTGTGTAATTCTTCATTCTTTGAAAGATCGCACGGCTTGTCAAAACAGCACTGATAATCACACTCAAACCAGGTTCTGTCAGTACTATATCAGATGCACCACGGGCTGCATCTGTGGCATCGGCGACAGCAATTCCTATGTCTGCTTTCTTCAATGCTGGTGCATCATTGACTCCATCACCTGTCATTCCGACTATGTGCTTCTTACCTTGTAATCGCTGAACGATCTCATATTTATGTTCTGCAATGAAGAATCAAATCAGACAGAAGCAGTGCAAAATTGACTAGCAAAAGTTGCAAGCTGTAACAAACAGGATTACCAGGAAATACACCAGCAAAACCATCAGCATTCTCAATGAGTTCATCAATTACTAGAGTTCCATCTATGCTATTCTTATTTTCACCAAGCAACGCCGATGATGGATACATGTTTGTGCCCATCCCAAGTCGTCTCCCAGTTTCTTTTCCAATTGCCAGTTGATCACCCGTGATCATTTTAACACTCACACCCAAATCTAGAGCTCTTCTAATAGTTTCAGCGCTGTCATGACGTGGTGGATCAAATAGGGGGAGAAGACCGACAAACTCCCAAGGTCCACCGGGACTGTCTTTCGTACCAGCAGGAACTTCCTGTAAATTATATCTCTTGTGAGCCATAATGCTTCAGAAAAGCATACATCTAGGAGTTGTTGTTAAAATCTCGTTAATTACCTGCCGTGCAACAGCAAGGGATCGAAGTCCACGCTCTGCGAATTTTTCAATTACTGTATGTACCCTTTTTTCAATTTCTGATTTGTTGCTTGCCAAATTGAGTATCTACAAATTTCACAGAAAAAAAAATGTTTTTGAAACTCAGGCCATTTTTAAATGTGAAGGACTACGAAACTTAGATTTAAAATTGTTAGATTAAGTACCTGCTCTGGTGCACCTTTGCTCACTCTGTGCATGTTACCGGTTGTGTCTATGTATGTAAGTGCTGTCCTCTTATCAGTTGGATTGAATGGAAGGAAGTGAACTTCTGTAATCCCCGCGCGAGCCTTACAAATGGATAAAAGAGAAACTCAGCTCATGGAAGCTTTAGTTAACAAAACAAATTAATGCATATGCAATGTTTGAAAACTGTAGAGAACAAAAATGTCCAATTTCTCGAAATTTCAAATTTAACAGCTTTCCAAATTAGGCGATGTGCTATATCTATTTTTACACAGAAACATCATTCTTTTCCTGGGGTAATATGATACTGTAATTATGCACTTCTTATGTACAACATTAGCACTGATATTGGAATTGTGTGGTATACTAAATTGAAATTTGAAAAGCTTAATCAGGTCCTATTTTTCTCGAAAAGTTTCAATTTAGGACCCCAACAGCTGCATAAATGTTTTATCTCATATAGTCTACTACCTCCTTAGGATCAGCTAGCATGGCAACAATTGCTGCATCAATAGCATCTTGATTTTCCAATCTTGAAGCCCTGCAAATGGAGGTGCTCATCAAATCAATGTCAGTATAATCGAGTACTAGGGTTCAGATTTTCTCTGTAACCAAGAAGTTGCTTTTTAACCTTACGACAGGATCAAGATTATCACCTCTATCAAATTCTTGTCCACTGTTAGTTTGTTGAGAGTTAAAGTTCCAGTTTTATCACTGCAGAGCACATCCATCCCAGCCATTTCTTCAATAGCTGTCATTCTCTTGGTAATTGCACCCTGAAATGAACTCAAACAAGTTAATTTGATTTCCAAACTGAAGAGAGAGATGGCCTAATTCAGTACAGTCTGTACAGAAAATTTCATGGTTTTAGTTGAACCTGCTGAGCCAACCGATGAGAACCAATGGCCATGGTGACAGACAGAACTGTTGGCATAGCAATTGGGATGCCACCGATAAGTAGAACAAGAAGGTTGTCTACCGAAGGACGATAACCTCTTTTTTGACAAATGAAGACAATGAGCTCAATCACAAGTCCAGTGGCTATTGAACAAATGCAAAAGTTTCCAATAGATGTTAAGACCTGAAACAATCAGTCCAAATGGTACTTTAGAGATGTGCAACGAGTAAAAAGTTCTTGTGCTCAAGACAAAACACTCTAGCATAGGTAGATTTCACTGTCTCTTACATTCAAGCAACAAATTCATAGTTTTAATGCTGCTCAGTTTTATGTTCATGAGTGTCTCATCTCATACGAAACATGTCTATTGGCTTGACATTTTAGCAACATGAACGTGAACTCACTCTATTAACGTGAAAAGGGCCATAAAACATATTGGTAGTGCTATCCACACACCCATTTTTACTTCTCACACACCCCTCTCAATTTTCGGCCGTCGGATTGAATGACTTGAAAATCAATACCGAAAAATTGACGAAGGTGTGTGGGACGTAAATATTGGTGTGTGCATAGCACTATCCAAAAATACTACCTGCTGAAAGTGCCCAACATGAGTTGTGTTTTCAACAAGATGGGCAGCTTTTCCGAAGAAGGCATGTACTCCAGTTGCAATGACAACCGCTTCAAGTTCACCTTGTTTACATGTTGAACCAGAGTATACACCATCACCGGCATTCTTAGTTACTGGAAGTGACTCTCCTGTAAGAGCGGACTGAAAACAAGGAAACCGGTTAACAGAAAGTCCGAAATTGTCTGGAAATGATTTATTACACAGCAATATGACTTAGCTACCTGATCAATTTTTAAAGCATCTCCTTCGAGCAAACGAGCATCAGCAGGAATAATATCACCCAATTTGATACTGATAATGTCTCCAGGAACCAGCACAGAAGCATCTTCCTCACTCCATTTTCCATCTCGTAAAACCTGTTCAGATTTTGTTAACTACCAACATGATAGAAAGCAACATAACAAATGAAACGTTCAGCGCAGAAAGAAAAAGTAACTGGTATATAAAAATGAGGGTAACCTTCGCCTTTGGAGCCAGTCTTGCCATAAGGGCTTGAGCTGCATTACCAGCATTGTTTTCCTCTATAAAACTTATAGTTGAATTAACTATGAGTAATATAATGATACCCACGAAATCGTGATAATCCATACCCAGTCCCTGAAAGAATAAAGTTTACAAAAATCAGTTCAGAAATCTAGTCTCCAGTCTCAATGGTAAAATGAACTACTAGGAACTTACGCCTCCGTGCGCAAGACATATGGACATTAACGCAGCTGCTTCCATAACCCAAGACAAAGGGTTCCACATAAATCCCAGAAATTTGAGTAGTTTGCTCTCCTGCAATTTGAAAGACAGAGTTACAATGCAAGAAGGTGAAAGCTTACTAAAATAAATTCTTCTTAAGAAACTATCTATAGAAAATTAATTACAATACAAGAAAAAGCACAAGCCTAAACAAATTATTTGAAACCTTTTTCTCTTCAAGTTTGTTGTAGCCAAACATCTCCAACCGCTTTTGTACCTCGTCAGTACTGAGACCCTCAGCTGTACATTTCAAATTTTCGAAGACTTCCTCAACGGGTATGTTCTCCTGCCAGAATATTAAAGATTTATAAAACTGCCAAAATACTCAAAACCCTCTAATATAACAGGTAAAATCCTCTTGCAGACAAGTAAATAGATCAAGAACGTGTACCAGATCAACAGCTTCCTTCAAAATAGTCTCAAGGGCATCCATCGCAGCTCGATTGTCTTGTCCCCCACCGGGAACGCAAAGATAGACAATCTGTGGATTCAGAAGTTTGTCATAAGAATAAAGTTTAAGGATGCAAAAAGCATTTAACAAATAAAACAAACATCTGATACAAGTTTTTATTCCTCAAATCATCTTATAATTCCTGCTTTGTGGTTTGGAAATATGAAAATCCAGCTTATTTGAGCGGATTTTCTTGTTTATTGAGTTTCTAAGTATCAGAAACAGTAATATATATCTAAACAAATAAACGGAAAATTTCAAATTTCAATGATTAGCAACTAATCCCAGTAGTTTTTGCCTCATCAAATCATCAAGACTCTCATCAGTCATTAAAGAGCGTTGGATATCGCATGGCAAGGAAATTAAACGATACAGTATGTGATGGCATTCAATTGTTCAGTAAAGTCGATCAGGACTAGAAACAAAAATTTCAAAGCCCACAGAAAACATAGTTCAAACAAGGAATAGGCAACACAAGTTGGCTACAGTAGTGTGCACCTCCCCGCAATTTAGATTGGATTAGAACATTTCTTGAGTTAAAGAAACAACTAAAGGGCTTTAATCTTGAAATGCCAATTAATTTACCAAATCTTTCAGAGAGAACTTAAAACAGCCAGCTTAATTGTTTCACGCGAACATACTCGAAGGCGATCACCAAACACCAAGACCGCTCAAAAACCAGAATCCAGAGAAGATGACCTTTTGTGCCGTTGGAGAGGGCGATTGAAAAACATACAAGAAGTTGGAATATATATATACTGAGCTACCAATGCCATGCAAACGACACGGACGTAAGAATTATATGCCAGTCTTTGACAGATGAGAGAGAGTTGGGAAGAAGAAGACAAAATGGCGAGCTTCTGAAACAACGCCGCAGCATATCCAGCTTAGCAAAAATTTTCCAAAGATACGAGAAACTGACGGCTGTAAGTGAAGGGATTGGTCATTGTTGCATAGCAGCAGGAGGGCTTCCTGATATGGGAATGACATACGTAAAACAAAATGAATTGAAAACTCAAAGGTCGCAGTCCTGAAAAGTCCATCAATGATCAATCAAGTACTTCTTTGGTTTCTTTGGTTACAAGACGTTGGACTCTAAGGCAGCACTTACTATTTCAAATGCTAATATACAAAACTCCTCTTTGCCGTTTAAGTTTATAATCCGTAACTGTATCCGATTGATGATTGAATTTCTAAATACACGTATAATTATGTAAATCGAGCCACAGCGGTTCGAGTTTGACGTGCATTATCTTGTTTTGGCCTCGTTCAAGCTGGGGTAATCAGCAAAACAAGTTTAGTTTGAACAAAATATTGAGCTTGCTAGAAAAGTGAGCAGAGGTTAAGTATTGGTACGTTGGGCTCATAAAACTTGTGAGCAACTCGTATCATTTTATGTTGAACGGATAATCCTTTCACAAAAATTTAACTTATTATTTTGAGTTATTTTGGGATGTATAATTTTCTTATTAGTAATTTTCATTAAGTCCTGCCGAGCATATGTTTGTTTAAATTACGCTCTAAGCCAAATCAATTAAAAACTCGACTTTGATTTACAACCAAGACAAGCCAAAGCTAAGTTCAAGATGTTGCCCTTGCACCATGGCATGTGGGTTCGAATCCCATCGATTTCCTAATCTAACATTTAATCTAACAAATCTATCATTTGACAAAAAAAAGTTCAAGATTGAAAAATTCATTTGAGCCGAGCTTCTATTTGGGTTTTTTGTACTTTTATTATGCTTGCGGTTAAAATACGTCATGTTTTTTTATACAAGATATAGAATCAAGATTCGATCACAATACATGTGTCCCGAGTTTGAAACTCCATCCTCTATGTTTAATGTATTTCGAATTCTCCCCTTCTCTTGAATAATAATAATAATAATAATAATAATAATAATAATAATAATAATAATAATAATAATAATAATAATAATAATAATTTTGGTTAAAAATGTATAAAATGATCATTTGAAGGTTCCAATTTAGCACATGTGGAAACCCAAAATTATAACGACTACTCAATGTCAGACTAGAAAACCTAACCTTTAAATTCTACATGCGCACCTAGCTAAAGCAATCAAACATGTGAGGACTAGGGTTAAAGTTGAAGAAGATTGGGTAAAAATGATGTTTTCACTACATGTCATATCTTCGTAGAGGGGCCACATAGGGTTTTATTTTGACAAATTTAACGGTCATTTGGTAACGTTTTACAGAACAATTTTTGAAAAATTGTTTTGTAAAACAAAAAGGACAAATAGAATTTTGCATTGTTATGATTTGAGAATGCGACTGGTAGTTTAGTTCGAGAATAATTTGAGAGAATGAAAACATTGATAATGCATCTAGTACCAAATGTTTGATATGAAATAAATTTTATAAGTTAGAGAGAATCCCTGGGAGCATCGGGATCCCATACTATTAAAAGAATGAATAGTATATTGTAGGGCTATGGAAAGTGATTAGCTGAATAGTTTTCATTTTTTTGTTGCTCAAGTAAGAGTACAATATATATACACAACTAAGTCAACTAATCTACAATAAAGCCTAGGAAATCGCATCCCTCTTTTAATGAGATTTCACATCAACTATTTTAGGTAAACATATTATACGGTAAATTACACGATCTTTTCATAATACTCCCCCTCAAGTTGGAGAGTGAATATCATGAAGTTCCAACTTGTCTCACAATTTCACGAATTGATCTTTCCCTAAAGCCTTTGTGAATAAATCTGCTAACTGGAAACGTGTAGGTACATGTGAAGGACTAATCATTCCAACTTGCAGTTTTTCTCGAACAATGTGACAATCAATTTCAATATGCTTCGTTCGCTCATGAAAAAGGAGATTAGCTGCAATATATAGAGCGGCTTCATTGTCACAAAATAATGGTGTGGGACCCTTTTGCGGAACCTTTAAATCTTGCAATATATAGCGCAACCATGTTAACTCTAAGCATGTGTTGGCCATAACTCGATATTCAGCTTCTGCAGATGATCGAGAAACATTGTCTTGTTTCTTGGATTTCCATGAGATGATGGAATTTCCAAGAAAGAGACAATACCCAGTAACTGACCTTCTTGTGGCACGACAACCTCCCCAATCGGAATCACAAAAAACCTTTAATTCAAGATTGTCAGAGACAGGAAATAACAAACCTTGACCAGGAGTACCTTTGACGTACTTGAGAATTCGCAAAGCTACATCCTAGTGAGGTTTGTGAAGCTCGTGCATGAATTGACTCAATGTGCGAACCGAAAAGACTATGTTAGGCCTGGTGACAGTAAGATAAATCAATCGTCCGACTAGTCTTCTGTACTTGGTGGGATCATCTAGCAATGCTCCCTATGTGGGAGTGAGTTTCAAATTTTGTTCCATTGGAAACTTGTCTGGGCATGCCCCTGTAAGACCAGAATCCTGCAAAATATGTAGTGCATATTTCCTCTGAGACATGAAAATGCCTTTCTTGGAACGAAAAAATTCAATGCCCAAAAAATATTTTAAATCACCAAGATCTTTGATGCGGAAGCGTGTGAGAAGGAATGTTTTGAGACGTTCCATCTCTTTAAGATGATTTCTTGTAAGAAGTATGTCATCTACATAGGTAAGGACTGCAATGAATGAGGTACCTTGGGCCTTTGTAAAAAGGGACTCACACAAATTTTTGGGATTTTTGGTGTTGATTTTCTATTTAAATTAAATTGAACAAAAACATGACAGAAACATATTTTATGTAGTTCACAAATTAAGAAAAATGAGTTAGGGGAATTGCTATCCACCACCAAATAATCATACAAACATGTTATGTTTCATTCAAATTCTTTTTACTTCCGGATAAAGATGCTCAAGTTGGCTTAATGTTAGAACTCAACCTATTATTCTTTCTTACGTAGTCCCTAGCATGCAATCTAGAATGGCGTGTTCATAGATTTAACAAGTAGAAATCATTAATAATGAAAACAGTTTGAGTCATCACAAGGCATCGTAAGTACTAGCGTTGTCTTACTTATCCTAGAAATTGGTTCACATGTTAATCGCAATTAACAAGTACAACTCTAGAACATATGTAGGTCCTCATTCGACATGCATCCGTAGAAAACACATAAAGAATTCATCACTGACATAAGTAGTGAACCAATTTTTATCCATTCATAAAAGCAATTCAACGAAATGTCATAACAAACTTGCAATCATATTCGGGGCTTCAAAACAACCCCTAACTACTAAAAATTTAGTTAATCATAATTCTCAAATTAAACCAAATGAAGGACATAAGTTTGAGAAGATAAAACCGAAAGAAGAGAATGCCAAGATTTCCTCATTCCTTCTCTATTACTTCCTCAACACTGCTGCCTTACCTTTTTTCTTCCTTTTCGCTACAACCTGCAACCTTCTTTTTTATTTTTAATTTTTATTTCCTTTTTCAAAATTATTTCTGTAAAACTCTCCCTTATTCCCTCTCCCAACATTCCTTGTAACCAATTCTTGCTGCATCATCTTCTTCTCCATAACTTTCCCCACTAATAGCAATTTAGTGATGACAATAAGTGAGAGAAAATGGTAAAACAATTGTAACTCTTTGGGTAGCCTTTATGCCAATTACTCCCATTTAATCCTCATCTTTAATTCCATTTCCTCTGATATTTGAATAGGTGTCAGCTGGCTTGTTCTTGGCTGCATCAGTTTTGGCTGTTAGATTTATTGGGTTTATTGCTTTCTTTGCAGTTACAAACTGCTCAGCCTCTTACGAACCTTTTAGTGTAAAACGGCCATAACTTCTTCTAGAAAAATGATATTAACAATCCGTGAAACAGTCCGGAAAATAGATATCCGTAGCTTTCCAAGCATATAAGGCTCATTCTCTAATTCATTCTGAGTTGTTCGCAACTTGCTTCCAAAGTCAGCTGATCTGCACAGGCAGTTTTGACGAATTTGTTACTTAAAATCCCATTTGTGCTATTTTTCTTTTCTTTGCTTGACAAATCCTACAAAACACAAAAGCAAAGTAAATAGCTCAAA